CTTGTTTAACAAAATCTGCCTACAAGAAAATCTGTCACCAAAGTATACCTTGTAATTATAAAGCAATAGTTTAATAGTGCAAAGATAATATGACATTACCTTATGTTAATCAATGATAAATATACAGCTAATCATACATGCGTGTTGATATTTAATAAAATTATAAATTTATACCACTTTCAAGGAAAAATGATTATTTTGTTCAACAAATTTTTAAAACTTTCTTTCTTGCTGTTTTTGATGAAATTGGATATTTAAGACTCGTTAATTAAAGGGAGAATGTCGTAGGTTTCATCTCATTGATAAATTTGTTTCTGTATATTTTTTATATTGAAAAACAATAAAGAAATATTAATAACAATTTCAACGCGTCTGTTCTTGCAATAAAGAAGAAACTGTCCCCTCATACACACGAGAGTCCTTAAATCAGCAAATGACTACCTTTAGTTTACACAGATTCAGTTATTGTTAATCCAAGCAAATGTTAATATAAAGTGCGAGATGTATAAAGATACTTAAGGCTGTTTCACAATGAAAAAATAAAAAAAATATCACATCATATTTTCCTGTATTCAAGAATATTAAAAAGAAACAAAAATGTAAATGTAAAATGATGTACGGATGGCAGTGTCAAAAAGAATGCAAACAGTAATATAGGGGATGATAAATCTATGAATAGATCATCCCTACATGATTTTCAATATTAAACTTTAATGTTCAACTATAAAATGCACGAGTACAAAATGGTTACGAGGTCGGTCAATTCGACCAATCTCGTAGCGAGAGTCTGTAATAATCAAGACATGTTTTGACTCAACTTGGTTTTTCCTTGTACGTAAGTCCTGGGCTCTTAGTTACACTACTTTGATGTCCACCCTGACATGGCGATGATATTATGATAAACAAACTGCATACCAACAGTCAGGAATATGTAACTTCCAACTGCAGTTATATTAAATTCAAGTATTCATTTTACCGTCGAACAATAAATCTTAATATTGAAAGTCATGTAAGGATGATATATGTACAACTGTATCATCCCTATATTCTTGTTTACATTCTTTTTGGCACAACTATCACTACATCGTTCTACATTTACAAAGTGTTGTTATTACTTTTTGTGAAGTTTTTCCCTGACTGAAAGTTGTGTATTTTGTGAATGTGTGTAATAAAATTTAGTATTACGTGTATTGACTTGTTTCACTCCTTCACCTCATACATGATATAGGGATTGGCTCTCTAAAGACACCGATTGTATAGTGTACAAAGCACTGTTCATCTATCATTGACTGTACTTAAAGGAACACCAGATTTCTGTAAGAAAGCTAGCTTCAAGGGATAATAACATCGTTTAAGCCAGAATTATGATTCGTTTTTAATTACTACTTGTTATTACGATTAAGCGATGACATCGTGCACTGACCAGAAACACATAGAGTGGATTTAGGTTTAAACTGACCTTAGGGATAAAATATTTGTAGAGTTATCTCGACTGAAACAAGAAGAAGAAAGATGAGCAATTTGGTGGGTTGGTCACTTTCTGGTTTGGTATCTTAGTGATGGTTCCGTGCCTTGTTCTTGGACTTGTTCATAAACTGACATGATGTCGTGGAAAGTTAATTTTTTCTATATTCAATAGTATCAATGTAAAACTGACAGGATATTGAAGAAGTTAAAATTTTTCTGAATAATTACAGGATATTGGAGAAGTTAAAATTTTTCTGAATAATGTGCTACTTCATAGCCTGTAACCAGGGGGTTGTTTCACACCATATTCTCCAATATTTGGTTTTCTGCATTACTTCTCGAATGTCCTTTAATTACGAAGAAAACGAGTGAACAGCAATATAGGTATACATTTAGGCTTATAAAAGAACAAGCAAAGTAGATCTTCACCTCTCATAAGGTAGGTAGGCCTTGCACTTGAACTGTTTTATGCTAATAATTGTTAAAGCAACACTAATGACTTTGACTGATTTCTCAGTGACAGAAATACAATCATTAGAGTACGGCTTAAAAACTATTCGCCACGAAGATTAATTAGACTTAGTTCTCATTAGTAGTGTTTCTCAAATGCTCCATTCTAATGGATTAAAGCATGTACTCAATAAACAAAGTCATGGGTTCAAGGACTTCAAACGTTTAGGTTTGTCAGTAAAAAATACATAACTCAGGTTGAGCCTATTTTCCATTTACTAGTGAGGAATCATGTATATTCAACTCTTTTATAGGAACGTTTTTAAATAAGAAATATCATTAAAATGTCTTTAAGTAATAAAGAAACTGCTTTCTATACTCACTTACATGCTTACGAAAAGAGCATTAACTGTTATATAAGTTGTACTCAGACGAAAAGAGTAGTAAGTCCCTGAGTGTAATATAATTGGTACTCAGGTACTGAAAAGAGTAGTAAGTCCCTGAGTGTTCCATACTTTGTTCAGTGTTCTGAACAGAGCTTACAAACAAAACTTTTCACTTTCTAACTAACATAAAACATGCAGAAAAAATTACTCCTGGGTGTAGAGTGATGAAATAAAGAGAAATGGTTTGAAATTATTATACACTCTGGAACAAGTGTAAAGTGTTGAAAGAGAAATAGTTTGAAATTATTATACACTCTGGAACAAGTGTAAAGTGTTGAAAGAGAAATAGTTTGAAATTATTATACACTCTAGAACAAGTGTACGGTGTTGAAAGAGAAATAGTTTGAAATTATTATACACTCTGGAACAAGTGTACGGTGTTGAACGAAAAATAGTTTGAAATTATTATACACTCTGGAACAAGTGTAAAGTGTTGAAAGAGAAATAGTTTGAAATTATTATACACTCTGGAACCAGTGTAAAGTGTTGAAAGAGAAATAGTTTGAAATTATTATACACTCTGGAACAAGTGTATGGTGTTGAAAGAGAAATAGTTTGAAATTATTATACACTCTGGAACAAGTGTACGGTGTTGAACGAAAAATAGTTTGAAATTATTATACACTCTGGAACAAGTGTAAAGTGTTGAAAGAGGAATTAGTTTGAAATTATTATACACTCTGGAACAAGTGTACGGTGTTGAAAGAGGAATAGTTTGAAATTATTATACACTCTGGAACAAGTGTACGGTGTTGAAAGTTTGTTTTGTAGTGGAAAATGTCTGTAATTAATAAGTTTCTAACTGAACAGCATTCGTTAGGTTAGGATATAGCTTCTCGTTTTTTCTATTTTGAATTACATTTCCAAATCTTATGATATAATATGATCAACTAAAATTATACGTAATGCAAAAGCAAAAGAATATACTGAATGTTGATAACTTGACTACTTCTGCAGCACTTCTATGATGCCGATCATTATCGTTAAGATGGTGTGTGTAAAGAGATTAGGCCTACTTTTGAAAGTGAAACAAGTCGTTCTTCTTCTGGTACCATCGGATTATAAACTAATTCTGATACTACTCTACTTTTAAAGATTTGGTTGTTAAAGGTTGTTCAAGATTACCACTTATTTTTCTACAAATTTGAAAACAAATTTGCTCTCGTGAGTTTCCTTCGTCGCTGTAATCCAAAGAAACTAGAAACGTTCTATATGAAAGGTCACGTGATTCTGTGTTTGACTTTTAGAACCAAAGTCAGTTTGAAATAGATATAACATTAATATGTTTATATAACAGTTTTTGTTGCTCTAAGTAAGTAGGGGATATCAGTGTTGGTGTTTGTTTTACACTCCAATGATCTTAGAA